CCCAAAAAAGGGGGGGTTAAAACCCGGGAAATTGGGGGGAAAAAAGGGGGCCCCCCCCGGGAAGGGGGGGGGGAAAAAAAGGGGGGGGGGGAAAACCCGGGGCCCCCCCCAAAAAACCCCCAGGGGGCCCCCTTTTTGGGGAAAACCGAAAAGGGTGGGTCGGGGGCCCGGAAACGAAAAACAAACCCAAAAAAGGGGGGGCCCCCCGGGGAGGGGAAAAAAAGGGGGGGCCCGGGGGGCCCCGGGGGGGAAAAAAACCCCCGGGGGGGGGCCTTAAAAAAGGGGGGGGGGGGGGGCCCTTTAGTCTAGCAAGTAGCGACGCCAAAACCACTGAGGGGCTTTAAGAGTAGTGAGCGCCTGTACCACTGAGAGGCTAGTCAGAGTATTGAGCGCCTGGACCACGGGGAGGATAGTCAGAGTAGTGAGCCACCTGGACCATGAGAGGCTAGTCAGAGTAGCGAGCGCCTGGACCACTGAGAGGCTAGTCAGAGTAGTGAGCGCCTGGAAAACTGAGAGGCTAGTCAGAGTAGCGAGCGCCTGGACCAGTGTGAAGCTAGTCAGAGTAGCGAGTGCCTGGACCGCTGAGAGGATGTCAGAGGAGCGAGTGCCTGGACCACATAGAGGCTAGACAGAGTAGGGAGCGCCTTGGACCACTGTGAGGCTAGTCAGAGTAGCGACTCCTGGACCTCTGAGAGGCTAGTCATGGGAAAGCTAGCACCTGGACCGCTGAGAGGCTAGTCAGAGTAGCGAGCGGCTGGACCACTGAGAGGCTAGTCAGAGTAGCGAGCGCCTAAACCACTGAGAGGCTAGTCAGAAGTAGCGAGCACCTGGACAATTTAGGGCTAGCCCAGAGTAGCGGCGTCTGGACCCACTAGAGGCTAGTCAGAGTAGCGAGCGCCGCACCACGAGAGGCTAGTCAGAGTAGTGAGTGCCTGGACCACTGAGAGGCTAGTCAGAGGAGCGAGCACATGGACCATTTGACAGGCTAGTCAGAGGAGCAAGCACCTGGACCACAGTAGAGCTAGTCAGAGAAGCGAGCGCCTTGACCACTGAGAGGCTAGTCAGAGTTGTGAGGCATGGACCACGAGAGGCTAGTCAGAGGAGTGAGTGCCTGGACCAATGAGAGGCTAGTCAGAAGAGCGAGTGCCTGGATGTTGCAACCCCTGAATGGGTTACAATGATTATTATGTATATTAAATGTATATTATCTTTTCATTTAATTTTATATTGCTTATATTTGCGAAAAATAGCTAAATCGAAATGTTATGACTTTATATTATTATTTGACTGTTATATTTTTATTTAGCTTATGTTGTTAGGAGTATATAAAATGTGCTCAGTTAGGCTTGTTTGGGTCAAACTACTGTAATTATCGCTTGTCGCTTCGTTATACTGCCGGCTTCTGAGCTGCAGTTGTCCACGTAGCTATCACGTGATCGGGGGGGGGGGTTGTCTTCACCTCTCGGGGAAATTGTCAGTCTGCTGGAGACTCGCTTGCTGGTTGGAACAGATTGTCTGTTCATTATTCTTGTTAGTTCTGTAGAACTTTGTTCACAGAACATTGTAAAGACTTAGTGATTTTTCGACGTCGTACTGAGGTTGTGTGTTTACATTGACACTCTGTACACCTCAGGTCCTTAGCTATAGCTTCTGACCTAATTTTTGTACTGGTTCCTGTGTATTGTCACAGTCACAGTTTTACCTATGCTGAAACAAAGATTCAGTATTTGGGAGTTTTGTAACTTTTGTGGAGGATCTGCTGTGGTCCCTACTTAGTGTCGTTATATTATTTCCCAGTTCCTAATTCTGTGTCGCAGTCGCTTGATATTGGGATTTCTATTGGCTTAGCATTCTTTGTTGTTCAAGCAGACTGTTCGGGTTGCCATTTGGTCAGAAGTTAGTTTTTTTGAGGACTTTGTCAGTCACTTGTTTAAGTCTTTTCGAGTCTTGAGACATAGCTAACTACTTAAGAGCACTTACACGCATACACATACTTGTACATATTTTTAATATCTTATTAAATGTTAATGTACCTGACGGTATTTAAAATTATAAATGTGATATGTGCTTTCAGCACAATAATATTGAACTCGAGAGATTGATTTTATTTTGATTTCTGTGATTAATTACTTTGATAATATACCTCTAGACAACTTATAGACTTAATAAATTTATTTAAAATTTTTTAAATTTTTTAGTTAGTAGCCTACCAGTTGTAAAACCTAAAGCACTATTGAACCATACTAAATTTTTAAAGGATAATGGACAAGGATACAGACTACTTGTTACGAAAACCCAGTAACAGCTGGATGCTAGAAGGGCACTCCTTTCTAGTATTCACTGGAGATCTCTAAGCTTTTAGAATCGCGTTTTTTGTAACAAATGGGGGCCTGTCCGGGAGGCTCTTGATCCAAGGTGTTGGAGAAATTGTCCAGTTTGACATACTAGTAACTCTATGGTCAAACACTTTGAGTACTTTCCTAATCTGAAGACTTTGAGTTTAGTCTTGTACAACATACCAGGTGGATGTATGTACCTGACTGAGTCTCTTGATCCAAGGAGATGGAAATACTGTTTATGAGTTCTAGCTCTAAGACAACCAACACTAAAATTCCTATTAGGATTATAGTTTCCCATAATCACTCTCTCGTAGTACAATTATTTTTGTGATGTATGCCAAAGTGAAACAGTTTAAATTTATACTCTGACTTTGTCTGAGTTAAGTACATTAAAACTTCCGACGTGTTGGCAAGTAGCCAAGTAACTCGGTGTGACGTATAACAGGAATTACACCCCTGAAAATGTCAGAGCTTTAAATTAAAAAATATATTGTTTCCTGCTCATACAGAGATGTCCTGATTATGATTCAGATTTAAAAAGCCTAGTGTCACAATTAGGAAGTATGACTCTATTTTTATGAAAAAAGAGCAACTAGAGCAGAAGTGAGCCTAGTGGCTGAGCCTAGTGTAGCTCAGTTCTGCTCACACCCTTCCCGCCTCACTGACATATAGTACAGAGTGTAGCTGGTAGTATGACACAGCCTAATACTAGTACAGTGTATACTACACCTGTATTACTTATACTAGACCAGCTCTAGACACTCCAAGACGGCTGGACCAAGTGGTCCGACCTAAGGACCGTCCAGACCCTGGTAATTTCCCTACTCCTCCATTACCCATGGTCCTATCTCTCAGAACAGTTTGAGAGGTTTTGAACGCCTCATTATGGGTTTCAGACTGCACAAATAGAGGCACAGAGGGGATTGAACGAAGAAGATTTCCAAAGAGAAAATGTTCGGGCTGTTAAGACAACAGACTGAAGTATCACAGGACACATTTAATGTGCAGAAAGCTGCATCCATGGTTCCTAAGTTTTTTGAAAGTGACTTAGACACATATTTTGATGTGTTTGAGAACCAGCACGTGCTTTTGAACTGGCCACGTAAGCACTGGGCAACATTGCTTCATACTGCTTTGACAGAAAGCTCAAAATTGTACGGGCTTTGCCAAAGCCAAGTACAATATTTTTGACGCGTCAAACAA